GACACTTCCAAGTGAATATGTCTTTTAGCAAACACTGTTTGTGCCATTATCTAAATCATAGGAAAATAGCCCACATTTCAGATTCTGAAAATTGGGCAAATTAAATATTGGTGTGCACAGCATGAGATGAGTCTATCTTTCTCTGATTTTTCCCCCCCCACTCCCGCCTTTTATCTAGGCATGCAGAACAGGATGATTCCGGCAAATGCTTCCTTGCTTTTGGGATAAAGCAAGCCAGGTGTGAGAAGTTTTTTCTCATAGGCCTGCAATCGTATACCCCTAAGGATGCTGAATTATTAACGGGGAAAAGAGAGAACAAATAACCCAGAGAGGGTTCCTGGCAGCCACTGTTTGAGGTTCGGGGTGTCGCCCAACACTGAGCACGTTGGAGTCACCTGCCAGGAACTATCTGGTTCCTACTCTAGGGCTCTGTTTCCCTTCTTGGGTCTTATCTGGCATCTGTCGGGGCGATGGTCCATGTCGAAAGATATAGATCCTCTTTTTATTCCATTAAACTTCCGGATCTGCTTATGATATCATGCCTCATGTATTTTCATCCACCCAATGATCCTAATAGCTGGTTATCTGCTCCCCGCAGAACCCAGGCTCGTGCTGGGAGAGGAAGGAGGAAAATCAGGATTCTGCTAGTCTCATCAGTGCTCGGTCCTGCTGTTCTGCTGGGTCTGGCCGGGACTCTCTCCTCATCTCATCTGTCGGATAGAATGGCATGAAGAACACTCGGTTCACATGCTGTCTCCGAGGAGACCCAGCGGGATTGAATTTTCTAGACTCAGGTTAAACAGGCAGAAGGACTGCCGCCTTAGCATTTGCAGTGAAGTTCCAGCTACGGGGCCTGATCAGCGGAGGTGTCTGTGTGAGGGTGCAAACGAGGGCGGGTGGCGGGGACAGGGCCGAGGACTGGTGAGCAGGACCACCTGGTCCAGTCATGCCAACTGCTCGGTAAATGGATTTTTCTGCCTGGCTACATGGGGCACTTTGGTAGATTGCTTTTCTCCTTCACTTTTGGGATGCAGAACAGGATGATTCCGGCAAATTGGGAAGATGATCCTAATTTACACAGCTGAGTCTAAGTTCTTAGGATGGAAAAGACAAAACAAAACAAAAAAAAACAAAACAAAAATAAACCCCGCATTTTACCAGTTTTGAAGACGGTGTCTGGGATGGGCTTCAAAATCACGTCGGGGGAGGGGGAAGGAGGGAGGGAGACGGGGAAGCCACGTGGCTGGGACATCTGGGTGAAAGGTACAAGCCCTCCACCTCAGCAAGCGCTCGAGATTTCCCATCATAAGAGTTAAAACAAGACGAGGCAGAGAGAATCAGTGATCCAGAAACCTGCTAGTTACTGATCTCAACCTTTAGCGTCACTGAAACCTCGTTTTGAAAGCTGCTAACGAGGACTGCCGTCTCACATTGTTTTCTGCTCTCCACACCTGCCCGGCTTATAAGAGGCCCAACAGAGGGCCCAGTGGTCAGTGGCCAGGGGTGAGGAGGGAGGATGTGAAGAGGAGTCGCACCAGCCTGCACGGGATGAAGGAGCTGCTTATACCACGGGCTTCATGTTCTTGGGGCCCAGGATGGGAATCAGCACGCCACCCCCTGTCACTGGCCAGCATGGATGGGGACGCCAAGCTTGGTGCACTGGTGGGTTTCATCTTGGGGTGCTACACTCTTCTTTACCTACTGTGGATGGAATCAATGTCAGAATCAATAGCAATCAACTGGGCAGAGGAGCTGTGGGCTTATCAAGGACAGGAGAAAATCCACTCCTCCGGTATTGTACGCACCCCC